ATCGTTAGTTCGTCTTTTTCTCTGAACTTCTTTAAGTACATTTCATACGTGAATGCATCTCCTGGTCGAACTACTTCTTCGAGGAGTCCGTTTTGCTGGTGCAAAGCGCCTCCAGCGCTACCAGAGCTCAATCTTAATCTTGAGGCGTCAAATCACTTCAAAAACCGGTTATGAGGAAAAACACGTCCAATTTTATCTGAACGACAGGGCAACCCCACATCAACTATATCCTGATATACAGAGGGGAGCCTAGCAATTCCTCTGAATTCCCCAGACCACGAGCGGAGTTCTTTCGTCGGCAAACTGTTAATATTGCTCGATCAGTTGCAATCAGTCCTCCAAACGACTGATGCAGGACTGTCAAAGGCTTACTGCAAAAACATTCGTAGTAACGGAGCTGCGAATATCATCTATACTACCATTTGTATGCCAGTAACACTGAATCATTTTTAATCGTAGATAACGATTGTCTCTATTCGCACCATAGCAATTATTCACTATTACGCCTGACCCTCGCTGGTCCCAACAAAACAATTCGTCATCCACGATTGCAATCGGGAGATTAGACCAGCTGGCACCGCGAGTAGTTGTAGGAAGAACGACCGAGCTAGACAAATCACGTTTTGAGCATACTGAAGTTGAAGAAGAAAAAATCGCGGAAGTCGGAATTGAGGGTATGACGCAATTATTTTGATTATTCGATAACATCTGGCCTGACCTATGCAAACAGCAATCAAATAGGGAAAAACTCTGTCAAAGATAAAGTCGAGCAAAGAAAGTCACAGAAACGGTGACGTTGCGAAACACCACGGAAATTGTCATCTCAATGAGATGCCTTCCAAAATAACTTACCAAATGGGCTAAAAATTACATGAGTGAACAGCAAGCATTTCAAGAACTTTATGCCACCACTGCTGTTCGAAGTGTCTTCCATCTCCTCTGCTGGTTCACATTCTACAGGTAATGTGTCAAAAAATAATCGATGGTTATGAATGATTTGAGTCCAACGAATGAATTTAAACCCTTCACCGTGACCGCCAACTATCCAACAACCAAAAGTTCATATCAGCTAGTCAAATACCCCTGTTGGTCTACAAAGGCGATTGCCATTCAGAAGCCCTACATGCATAACGATGAAAACTTGACCATCAGCATTTATAGTAAGATAAAAGGCGCATAAACTGGAATGATCACCGATGATTGAGCATTACACAAGAGCCCTAGACGAAAAAACTTTGATAATCAAAAGGAAGGAGAACCGAAAGAAGAGGCTTGAGCCATTCAATGGTAGATGGGCTTTCATCGGTTAGAAAAATCGCAATACGGAGGGAGCTAGCTGCTAATTTGAAATCTGAAGGGTAGTGTTCTACAATACGGCAAGTGATGTTCCCGAAGACAAAGACCTCATAGCGACATAATTCGAGCTAATTATATGAAACGCAAAAGAGCACCATTCGTCATACACTGCATTAGAAGGCATTAATTTGGGTTTACATCGAGGAAAGCGATACATAAAAAAAGAAGTGAAATGAACAAATCAAGGGCAGTAAAAACCACCTTATTAGGAGCGATCGAGTAATCAATTCGGAGGAACTGGAAAAATTCAATAATTCCAGCAGATTATTTTCCATTTTCGAGAAGGACCATGAACTGAGTTCACAGTATATCGTGGTTAGCCTACTAATCATTATCCACAGCGATTCTGTTAAATAATCTGAACAATGGGCTCCGGAAAGTGATGATTAGTTCTCAGCGAATGAAGAAGTCGGTGCAAACCGAAAGCGTATAATAATATGAGTGGAGAGTAGCAAAAAAAGATTTCAAAGAAAAAAAACTCGTTATAATCCTATTCGAGCAGTAAGCTAGACATCGGCTTCTTCAGCACTAGCTTCAGCAGATGAAACAACTGCTACAGTTTTCGCATATACTTCTTCACGATTCAGACCACTCATTGAAAAAGACAAATAGAAAGTGAATGTGGAGTAGAAACTGGCAAAAGCAACTTCCCATTTCTATATACACAAAGGAATAGAGCGGTTCATTGTCCTACATAGGTCTTGGGGTCTCAAGACATGGTAAACAAGGGTACGGTTGAATCAAAAAGCAAATGAACCAGAACGATTTTGTGTCAATCGCCTCATATGAGTACTTTGCAAGAGGACATCGCTTGCTCACTCCTCTTTAATTCCAATACCCTAACCTTTTAGTGAAGGCTAGATGGCACGGTAAGGCAACAGAGCTAGGTCTTGACATTCCTCTCTAAATCCATTGTTTTTCCTTGAGGATTAGGATATGATGCAAGAAATTCACAGTAGAAGAATTTCTAAATGACACTCTACTCTATCTTAACTCCGCCACCTTTTCGAAATGACCACACAAAACATAATAGTTCAGGAAACAAGGATGTCATAACATTTTGATGGGGTAGATTTAAGTGTTGAAAATAACGAATTCTGTTAACTCACTCTATTATAAAAAGATGTGATACATGCATGATACATCCCCACATTCACCGTTTCGAGGATGGTAATCGAGTGAATGAGAAACACCAGATTATTTCAGTTGAAATTATCACAACGATAGTAAACAAAATTAAAAGAAAACTGTAAAGAAACATTTGAATCAGCTTTCGAAAGCTCCAGATTATCAAGGGCAGGCGAGCCCGATGAAGAAAATAGTAACGAGCCCTGTTGTTCAAGAGCACCAAGAGAACTACTGAAAGCGAAACTATGCAAATGGACGACAACTATGCAAGTCAACGTCGGAACTATTGAAAAGCTTAAAGACACAGGGAACTGATCTCCCTAGAGCTTTTAAAGAGATAGCGTATACAGCGATTCTTAACTTGAGAACCTCGTCAAGTGTGATATTGTAATATTGTAAACGCAACGTAAATATATTTGGGGCGAGATGCGTATTTCCAGAGAAGCAAGCGATTTCTTTCTGTACTATTTGGAGTGACAGAAAATAAAATGGATGGTTCTCTCATCGAAAGCTAAATCGGCGGGAAAATATAACCTAAAAAACTTCACTGCTGAAGAAAAGAAAAGAAGACGGATTCTTATGTAATTATAGTAGCTTGAAACTTGTTGAGAACAAAGGAAAGTTCTTCTGGACATCTGATTCGAAGATTTGAGATTACAAAATTTCAAGAAAAAAAAAACAAGAAAATATGATTAGTGTTGGTTTCCACTGAAATGAAAAAAAAAACAGATCGGAAAAGTTCGAGAGACAACAATAATAAATGGTGTGATGCAAAAAAGAACTTCGTAAACTAACTCTTCTTTCTGATCACCTTCGCCGGTACTGTAGGATTTGATGACGAGTTCTGAGAAACAACCGATCTCCTCAGTATAATGCGCAACGGCGTGTTGGATCGGTTTAGTAAAGCATCACATTGAAACAATCCTCGAGACTGGAAATAAGAACAATACACTCAGAATTTTTGTGCATTTTGTGCTCCACCATAGACGATAATTCACTTTTAAGCACGTTCCGATTGTTGTCCACTAAGTGATTTTCCCGGGACTTGAAGTAACACTACTCTTCCCGGTCTACGCTCTGTATACATAGAAGTCGTATATATGACAGTCACTGTTAAAGATTTCCGGGAAACCATTGAAGAATTGATAAAAAGGATGAAGTTTTTGGCATTAATCACTCCCGTTGTGGCACTCGACTTGCCCCCATCGGAATCGTAGTGGCGTTTTGAATGAGTATGTTTCTTATACATTGTGAATGGATGAGGTCGTTAACCTTAGTCAATCTCATATCTGAAATGCGCCCTCCCATTCGATTCAATATCGAATCCGTCCCGTTTTAGAAAGAATCGACTTCCGTTCAGAATTGTAGCGCCGTTTTGAGTGCAAAGCAATGACTTCCAGTGGCCAGCCGATGTAAAAGTTTGGTGAGCCGGGATCAAATCTCCAGACCAGGCGCGTGTGGTAATGCGCTATTCCGCCACGCTACTTCCAAATTAGAGATGGCTGATATCACCGTAAAAAGGTGTCTGGAAAAGATACCGAAAATCGATTGCGTAAAGATGAATGAACAATGCTAATGAATGTGCTAACGATGAAATTTCCGACTCTTCAAAAAGACAAGTCCGAACGAAACAAGGCCCCTGCAGTGAAAATGTTCTGTGAATCGAAGGAAATAAGCACAGTTTAATGGACCGATTACAGCAGCTCGACTGATCGACCAGTGATCGGATCGGGACTTTCTTGTTTGGGTAATGTTCATTCCCTCACTCACTCATATTCACTTCTTTCATTTTAGTTAACATGTCTCTCTGATCCACGGGGGTAAGAAAGTTCCCCTTTCGAAACAACTCACCACAGCATTCCTTGAGATTACTGTTCTTTGGAAAACGAGTATTTTTGAGAACACTGACAGCATGGTGAATTCTGAACACCAAATATATCGAATGTTGTGGAAGAAAACAATCAAGTGCGAACCAACGGAGTAAGATCGGATATAGTGATCGGAGATGGTTTGTCACCGCACAAAAAATTACGTCAAAGGGGAAAATTGATCTTTTTATTGAAAAGAATGGCACTCAAACAGTAACAACAGTAACAATGTAATAGTAACAACAACGAAAAATTTCACAATACACTATCAAAAATAACCACATTTTAAAAGAGAATAACGCACTATAAATTTTAAAAATGTTGTGTGAGATTCTTCTAAGGTTAGGGAAATTGAGAAAATAATATCACACTGAGCAATGATTGTTTAACAATATTAGAGTCAAAAATTGTACAATATGTTCAATCGATCACGACCTCTGATCTATCACTGAGAATGAAATAAATAACCGGCAATAAATATGGGAAGAAGAGCCTCATTCATATTTTGCCTTGATACATTTATGTCCGTTGGGTGGAAGTCTGCGGTGGATGGATACCGGTACTTTGATCGCGACAGTGACGGACAGGGCCGAACGCCCCCAATGTGCCAATGCAAAGTATGAATGCAACTAATGTGCAATTTCGTCATCATTGAGAACAGAGCTGTTGTAAACGCATAGTAACTTCCGCAAGAGTTATGAAAACATTTTCTTCCACTCGCTCGCTGTTGGTTCCTTTATTCGGCAAGGAATTCACTAACCGATCAAAGGCTTCCTCAGCGCGAGTCTCTGAGAGTGCTTCTTCAGCCTCCAGCGCGGCGTCGACCCCAGAAACACCACCAAAAACCAGTAACACTCGACTAGAAGCACAAGTACGTATGAATAAACTAGTGAGAACGCTTCAGGAAACGAGTAATTGTAAATGCCAAGTTTTAATATCGTTGAGCAACGATAAAGAAAAACTCACATATCATTCAACGTATTGAGATACATATTAGTGACGGGTTCGCCGCGTGGCGAAGTACCAATAATAACATCATATTTATTCCTGAAAACCCTAACGTTGAAGAAAAAAACTCGAGACATTCATCACTCTGTTGGAAGTCATTTATTAAGATTGCTTCCGAATTTGAAATTCACTTACGTACCTATCAAGCACTTCTTTCATGCTAGTCGCCAACTTCACAGAGTAGCCCCAATATTTCCCAGTTTTCTCTCGAACAGTACGTGCATTCGTGAGCTTCCCTCGATATCGTTTGGAATCTTGAAATAGAAAAAAAATAAGCTGTAAAGTAAAAGCAAACATAGAATAGCCTGATAGCCTCACTTTGGTTCAAATTAGTAATTTCAACGGTTACCCGCGTAGCAGCAGGAAGTTGAATCTTTTCTTCCAATTCCAATTCCTAGAAAAGAGAGCCTTTAAACAACATTATATTTCCAGTTTTACGGCGCGAAAGCATTCATAAAATCGAAATCGGATCATCTGTAACCCTAACCCACGAACAATCCTATCCATGGGTTCACCTTTCTTGTAGTTCACAATTTTTTTACACTCAATTTGCTCAAGAAAGCGGAGCAATATACAGCTGTGTACATATTCCATGACTGAATCACCTTTTCAAGGCCAATGTCACATAATGAACCCCTTTCGGGTTTGGTTGGTTTATCGAGTACAACGCCTTCCCTGAAAGGTATAGAAACATCGTCGCTCCTGAGATGATGTTGAGCATCAAGGGGATTTAGAAGACCTGAAAAATAACTTAACAAAGATACCAAAAAAGAAAACAACATGAACAGAAAGGAAATCATAGAGGACATGCACGCATATATGCAGAGGCTTGAAGACATTCATTCGGCATTTGTTGTGAATTGCTAGGACGCTTTACTGACCTGCATACTTCAGCGGTTTTTGATATGGAAACAAATATTTCCTCAGGTATTGTGGGCATTCGACATATTCCAATATGCGTGCCAAATGAAAACAGGCTTCAAAATTCATATCAGATGGCGCTATATCACCTCTCCACTTTCCAGACCAGTATGCATCAACATTCCTGAAGGAAACAATAGTTCAACAAACCCGACTACGATTTCGAGCTACAAAAAAGGCACGAAATACTCACTCTTGCGTCATTTTGCATGTCTCATCATAGACGATCACATCATCAACACAAAACAACGTAGCAGCACGAGCAATCTATAAAAAAGAACACCAAATCGCCAAGCTCTCATTTGAAGTGCTTCTATCGATACCTGGCCAGACATGTAAGTGCGTAGTTCAGAACTTTGTCCGTTATTGAGGAAGGAGCCAGGTACAGCGATTGATATGGAAAATTTGCTCTCTGAACATGAGTTTATACTTAACATGGAACGTAGAAAAAAAATGAAACATACAAGTGTCTCTAGCATCAATCTGTCCTTTTATTGTTGCATACATTTAGCAGATCCATAAACTAATGTCTGGTTATTGATGATCGAAAATAGAGTAGAGATCCTAGATTGAGATTTTATCAGCGCTCTCGAAAAAAAGGGTACAGTTTTGAGTGTTGATCAATCCCTTTTTTGGGATGGCGCGGCGTTATGGCGTATAAGACCTATACAACCATTTGCCGTGCCCAGCCGATGAACAAGTCAGTGTTTTCACCTTCCCAAACGAGCTTAGCGACAATTAATTGATCTCAAATCGAATGGATGGAAGGTATGTTGGGCGGCGCGGGTAGCTATGGGAGATTCAATCCGCGGACCGTGAGTGTGTGATAGCGTGACACATGCCACTGCACCACCGTCCCGTTGAAGATGTTTTCTTATATGTTGGTTCTGCACCGACCTTTTTTCCTTCTTGCTGCATTAACGGGACGATGTGGTGTGAGTCAAAATGTATACCTATAGAGGTCTCCTACATTGTTAACAACAGCCTCGCGCTGACAGTGCTTATGACTGATTCGAATAAAAGAACAAAACAAGAAATTGTGACAATGCAGCAAACGTTCTGCAACTGTTACATACCTTTCTTTTTCGAGTGTTGGACTGATTTCGTATTTTCGTTTAGCTGTTTTAACTCTTCATGAGCTGCTAATAACGCTTTTTCACGTTTTTCTGCTTTGCGTAATTTATCTATAAAGAACGGTAGGCAGAATCTTTGAGAAAAATTTCACTATAAAGTAACCATTGGCATTGATAAAAGCTAAAACTATAGAAAGAATCGGAAAATGCCTCGAATAAAGAAAACTACTCACGTTCTTTCCATATTTTGCTCGACGATTTCTTCTTGAGTAATTTCTCTCCTAATTTACGACTTTTTCTTTTAAACTCAACATCAATAGCCATTACAACCTGCAAGATAATTGTTTTCCATTCTAAAATCTCTAAAGACGGAAGGTAATTAAAACGCTGTATTTAAAAGACGAAACGAAAAGAATATCTACAGGTATCAGAAGTGCGGGTGTTGCGCGTAATTTCCAAAGTGTGGTCTGCAAATTTGAAGGAACACACGATTTTACGTCTAGCAGTGTATGGCGCTCCTGGTTTAGGGTGTTTTGTGTGGTGCCGGTCTTTTCGTCAAGGTTGTGCACCAGAATGTAGTATCTGCTATTTGGAGATCTAACAAAGCGACGTACCCCTGGTGTTGAATTTGAAGGTGCTCTGAGTACCCATGGTGTTCAATTTGAAGGAATGCATTGGGAAGTTGATGATTTCCTATGGTTTGAGTAACAGAAGTAGCAGTGATATTGAGCTTTTTCTGTACACCATAAGGCCGCATAAGTTCGCTTTTTCGGTATGAACCTCCTAAAATATTCTGGAAATGATCTGCAGTTTACTGGAGGACCATGTGAGCCTTGTTTACTTGCACCATTGCTTCCAATGGCCCATCCATATCACCGCATATCTGGGTCTTCAGGAGGCGTCAGAATTGGAAAGGTAGTGGTAATTGATGAAGGTTTAACAATAAGGTTCGTAGATATCTCACAACACCTAAGAGATCCCCCAAAGTCGGGAGGGCCCTTGCCATGGCGACAATTGTTTCCTACATTCGACTCCGCTGGTTAGTACGAAATCCTGTTTGGATGTAACAGGTGACATTGAAGAGAATATCGATAGCCGGCTTTTTTTAGCTCAGAGTATGGTCTCACCATACGTTCCATCACTCCCACGTCGTCGTCCCCGGAGAGTACCGAAGAAGACGGAGGCCAACGGGAGCCTGGTAGGAGCCACCTGATGGGACACCGCTTTGGGGGGAAGAGGGCACTGATTTGTACGGCGTGGTTAGGGGGAAGTTCGTTCGTTGGTTTTATGGTCTTCAATGATCGGTAGTGATGTAATCCTTCTCTTATTGTATATTTTCTCCTTGTGAGTCCGTAGGCCTCCTAGCGTGGTGTTATGGCTTCTGCTAATTATAGCTGGTTGAGATGTCTTCTGTATTCAGAGGTGTGGTTATGCCGCCCTTCTTCATTCACCCACTCCGAAATTAGGAGTGAAGCACCTTCTTCGCATAGAGTTCCAGATTCCCCTGGCTGCCTATCGGGTCACTCGTTAGCTCACTCCGACAAGACACCCCCAGTTTCTGAGGACGGGTCCATCTCTTTTCTAAGAAGAGCAAGAGAGGTGTTGTGTGGACGTTTGGCCAGAGTAAGAGCAATCAGAGAGTGGGCTGCACAATTCATAAGAGAACTCATGGAGGAAATTCATACATCTTGTCGTAACCCATAGTGACTGGGTGAAAAGCAACTCTGGACAGTTTTGGCTTGATGTAGTCAGCTTTTTGCCATTTGCAACAACTGAAAACTCGTCCAACAAACCAATCCCGGAGCGTTGGAAGGCTTGGTTGGCCTAGGCGGATTTCGATCCGAGATTCGAACCTCTGACCGTGCATGTGAGATAGTGCGCCACTAACCACTAAACCACCTCCGCCCTTTTTTACAAATAATCTGAGCAAAACTGTTTTGTATCCCTCGAGCAAAAATGATCTACTAGACTACTCTGTCTCAAGACAGGGACCAAAAGAGATGTTACTGGTAGCCGCTCGAGAAAATCGATGATCATGGGGACGACAGGCGACAGGCGAGAGGGATAAAAGACACAGCTCGCGCCATGGGCCTGAAATTTGATTCCCAGGCCATGAGGATGATAGCGGCTCCACTCGAAATTACCTAATTTCTACTTTCTCAAGTCCTTGACTCTTTGTAAATCACCTAACGTTTGAGTCTGAAGCCAAGGAAGCTGTGAAATTATGGAACACACAGATCAAGTATGGTAGAATCTTTATATTTTCCTACATTTTTACCTTGCTGATGGCTAGAGTCAACAACAAATAATGACTTCATATGCCACAATGGGAATTATTGATTAGTTTTTCTCATCTTAGGTTGACGAACTCAAAAATTGAAGTTAATTGTCAGTTCTTCTAGCTTTTACAGTAATCGAGACGTCTTCAATTGGCTGCATTGAATAAATTCAGCAAACTAGTGAAAATCTCGAAAATATCGATGAATAGGCAGAGAGCTGCGAAAACATATTCTTCCGGTGAAATTTCATGTTTTCTTCCGCCCAAAATCAACTGGAAATAGTTTAGTAAGTAAGTAGGTAGGTAGGTAGGTAGGATGAAGCTAGACCACTTCAAAAAAAGAAGTAAGGCCCAAGAAGTTCACCTGGATATCATAGGCTAGATAAATCATGAAGAGTATGCATACGACAGCCGATAATGCTATGGAAAGCCACTGGAAAAAATTTAGCTCATATGCAACTGTATGAGGGTAAGTCGGAGGTCGTTTAGTGGTCAGTGGCCCACTGTCACACACACACACCCGCACGGGTAACGGAACTTCTCCCAGACA